TGTAATGACATCATAAGATTGCTAAAAATGACTTTATGAAGTAGTTGTCATTTATCTCTCTTTAATAATTTAAAGAAATTAAGGCACAGAAAGATTAACAAATGTGTCCATATACAGCTAGTAAGCAAACACATGTAGACTGGCCTCAGAGATAATGCTTTTATTGATATGCTGAAGACTTTCTCCTCCATAGTAATTATAATTAATAATGTGTTCAATGCTTACAACGTACCATGCTATGTGCTTTGCAAATGTAACTCACTTAATTTTTACCATTAACTATGAAACATGTGATTCCTCCATTTTAGAGAGAAAGAAGCTGAGAGACAAAGTTGCATGCTTTGCTACTTCCACTGTGGCACATGGCTTTTATTCTACTAGTCAATGTTTTTGATAGATCCATGTGATTAGCCTCGTTCAAATCCCTACTAAATCTTCAAAAGATTATAAACAAATATTTAGTAACATAACAGATGATATTACTTTACAATTTTCAAAAGTCTGGCTTTCACTTCTTAATATATTTAACTTTGAATAATCATTGACTTTAACTCAATAAATTGTTTCTTAGAACAAATAACACTGAAAAATAATAGAAATCCCTGAAATCTGTATTTACAAAATGTTGGATATAATGTTCGATTTCAGGTACTTAATACTCCTGAGGACTGAATGTAATATGGAATGCTGCAACAGCTCTATCTAAACCATTCAGTGCATAATTGTCTCTTATGTACCTAATGCAAAATTCCCAGGGATTTTATTAAACAGTGGTTCTGAAACTTATTAGATAAAATCCTCTGTATAATCTCAGTCATTCAAATGTAAAATACAATGCTTCTGTCATTATATTTAATCTATTTTTCATATTAGATGAAAATATCACTACTTTTGCCAAAAGTATGGACTAAGAATTGACACAAGACCTGACCATGTAACAACTTAAGTACATTTACAAAGAGATAAGCTCTGCTAGACTAAAAGGTGGTTCTCAAAATCCCAGTGTCTAAAACAGAAGACCTCATGCCTAGTGTCTTGTCTATCCTAATGTAATATTTCATCATTTTAGTCACCAAATGCCACATACCTGCCACATTTCAGGTAGTGTACAATTTTTTCACAACCATTATTGCTTATCCCAGTGGCAACCTCACTAGAGAGGTGCCATTATCTATGTTTTAAAAAGAAGCAAAAACAAGAAGTTTCTAGTCAATATAAAAACAGAATTCATAAAAGAATTTTCTTGTGTTATTTATGATCCTAATAATTTCACACCATTATCCAAATTCTTGCCTACACCTAGTGTTATTTTGGAACAAAAGAGCCAGATTTTGAGGGAATATGAGAAAAAATTATTATGATTTGCTGAGACTTCTATAACACTCTGAGTTTACAAAATCACTTTACATATAATCAAGAGAATAAGATATATTTAAAATTATCTTTATCATTTTCTCATTTCCAGATAAGGAAATGAGGTTTCAATGTTCATGAGTTTATCCAAGTTCCCTCGGCAAATAAGAATCAGAGTCAGTTTCTAATGGTAGTTTATTAATCCTAAAATGCAGTAGGTATTCTGCTATACCCTTTGGTAGTCTCAAAGAATTACTGGATATAGTTATTTACGTGGGCTATCAGACAAATGCTTTGCCTCTTAAGATGAGTGGTAAGCATGGCTGAGGGTCAAAGAGTAAAGAAGACAATCTTTGCTATATGTGTGCCTAGGTTGAGTTCTATCCTGGAAAACACTTACCCAAGTAGTTGTACTCCCTGAGCACGGAATTATTGTGTGTTTTTACTCTGTATCATGAGAAAATTAAAAATTTATAGGGACATATGCTAGTTTTGTTCTTCCTGGAGTGTAGAGACATGAGTTAACCTAGACTTGTAAGTAATGACTTCTTCGAGTAAAATTTCCATGTGATGCCTGGATTTTATATTGAAGTTTCATATAAGACAGTAGGATAAGGTTTATACTTTTACTGTGAAATTCTTGTTGAAGATATTTACTTCTTAAATTAATGAAAAAAATCTCAGAAAATTTTAAAAGCCAATTACCTCTCATTGAATGGATTCAAATAAACATATAGTTGTAAAACATTCAGCATTGCAGTAGCCCTTTTGGAGTCCAGACAATGAATTAGCTATTTCCAAAAAGCACAGTTCAAGAAGCAGGGGTAAATGTGTCCAGACTAGAAAAAAGTACTGTCACTTAGAGTTTTTCAGACTTCGTGTAAATAGTAATATCATCAGCTTTGCCAAGTTGGACAATAAAAGGCAGTATGTAATTGGTTACTTCTATTTCCATAAGCACTCACTTAAATTTTTATTCGAATTTTTATTGAGTAGCTTCTATGTGCCATAATTTTTCTGGTTTGAATTTATCAGTGAAACAAAGATTCCTTTCCTTTAGAAGACTGCATTCTAATAAGAGGAGGGGACAGGCAATAAACAACAAATATACCAAGTGAATAAGGATACAGTATTTTGAACTGCATTGAGAACTATAAGAGGAAAATGGCATTGGACAAAGAGTATCAGGAGCACAGGGAATGTAAGGGAAAATAGTTTACTGGATTAAACAGGGTAGGCTGGTAAGTCCTCATCTAAGAATTAAAATTTTTGCAAAGATTTGAAGAAAAGGAAAGAATTAGCCTGCTGATTACTTTGAAACAGAGCCTTTCATTTAAAAGAAACACCTAATGCAAAGGACAGTAGATAAGAAGATGTCAGGTACCTTTGAAAAATGCAAAGTCAGCCTAGTGGTTACAATAGAAAAATCAAAAGGAAAGAATACTACAAAGAGTAGTCAAAAAAGGTCATAAATGGAATAGACACAGATTATTTAGGGCAATGATATGTACTTGGGATTGTATTCTGAGTGAAAAGAAAAATTACTGGAAGGTTTTGATTTAAATAACTTCTTTGAAAGACCATTATAGCAGTTTGGAAGTTTTGCTATAAGTCAGGTAAAAGATGATGGTAGTTTGATTCAACATTGCATCTGTGAAGGTAGTTAGAAGTGCTAGGATTCTAGAATAATTGTCAAAGTCAGAGCTAATAGAATGTCCTGACCAATTGTCATATGTGAAAGAAAGAAAGGAATCAATGAAGCTTCCAAGTTTTAAGTATGATCAATTATAAGTAAAATTATTTTTTTCATGTTTTTACTGTTCTACATTAGAATTACATTTTTATTTTATTAATAACTCATCCTAAGGCAAAAGTATTACCATTGAGATATTACAATCACAACTTATTTTGGGGAGTGAAGACATTGTTCCTATACTCTTTTTAATTTTAATTTTGAATAATTCACCACTTTATAATTATGAGACAAAGCTATATTTTAAAATGTCAGAAAAACTTAAGATTATATAATTATATTTTCCTTCTCATCTGAAAATATCACAATTGTTCAACATGGGGAATGCCCTTTTCATTTTAGCTTTTAGAACATGTGAATATATCTTGGTAAACCATGCAGTACATTTCTGCTGTGTTTTATTTTATTATTTCTAACATGCTTGGGAATGACTTATTTCAAGCAATCCTCTGTATAACTCTGGGAGACAGTAGGGATGGAAAGATTTTAAGAATTTGGAATTTCAGTGACTGTGGTTAACAGGAGAACTCCTTGCCTAGGTACAGCAAGGAGTTTGTATGCTTAGATTCAGCACCAACAGAAGAAGAAGAATGGGGAACTTTTAATGCCCTATAGTCACTCAAAATCAGAAAGTGTTCTATGCAAAGACCAAATCTATGACCTTGTCCTCATTGCCAATGCCTCAGACAATTGGGTTGTAAATCACTTTTTTGTTCATTGGGCTTCATTTCTTCACCAGAATCATCTATTCATAAGTTATCCTCTATTTTCTTCAGAACTCTCATTTTTGTATTTTCTCATCTATGTCATTCTCCTCATTTTTGATTTTCAGGAAGATCAATCACATCTTTGTTGGACTTCCTAGAAAGTATTAAAATTTGCTTGGGTAAGAAACCTCAAAAATTATAAATGCCACCACCATTGGTAAACATGGAAATGCAAAAATAAACACACCACTATAAAACTCAACAAGGTGTGGTAGATACTTTTTTTTTTTCCTTTTGAATACCTGAAGATCTCAAAGAATGACTTTCCTTATTGTCAAGGGTCTGGTGGAAAATTTAACACCAGGTGTTAGTAATGTATGTATGTGAACCAGTACCCTTGACTTTGGTGTTATCTTTTAATCTTTAATCCAGCTGCTGCAAAGATCTGGTTCCCAAAAGTCACCTAGGGAAATATAAAGGCAATAATAACGTTACTGCAATATTTGCAGGAAAGTAATTTATAACAATTTTTTAACAGAGATAGAAATAAAGTCTTTTTTTAAAAAAAAATGTTGTTGTTTTGTTTTTGTAATCTAAAGAAAACTTCAGCATTTTTGACAATACTGGACAGTTATGGGGATGGCAGGGGAAGGAAAGCAAAGTCATTTGAGGAAGTAAAAGGCATTTATCTGCTACGGAGGAAGAAATTTTAATGGATGTACAGAATCGTTTTTAAGAAGTGCAGACAAATGCAAAATGTCATTATTAAGTAATATCATTAAAGAGACCGTTCTTTCTCACTACTGACTCCTCTGAATCATCTTAGGGTTCCCTGACTTCCTATGTCTGCCCTCCAGCAGTGACGCCCCTTCTCCCAATCATTGTCAGGAGTTTAAGTGGCATCTTCAAAAAGAAGCTTATTATCTACCTGCTCCCCCAGCTTCTCTCTGAGTGACACACCACCCACGCCTCCCTGAACAGCTCTCCTCCTTCCACAGCTCCGGAGGGAATCTGAAGACCTAGAAAGGGAACCCAACGCTACCTTTGCCTGAACCCTGAGACCAAGAAGAGGATCCTAGTTCACCCACTAAATTGAGCCCAGGCGAGTCTGCCGCCCCCCGCGGCGCGCTGCAGGAGTAGGAGCCAGCCCTGCGCTGCGCTTCCAGCTGCGTCTGCCCGAGCGCGGCACGTGCTCCCGGCGCTGGCGCGAGAGAGCGAGCGCCACCACCGCGGGTCCCGCATCCCTTCTGCCGGCTGCCACCACTGCCTCCATCGCTGCCACTAGCGCTCCAGCAGCAGCCAAGGCCGCTACGAAAGCGCAGGAAGCTTGCAAGGAGCTGTTGGCTGGGGGCGCAAGGCTCCGGGAGCGCACCTGGTAAGCACAGCGCGATTTTTCTTTCTCTCAGCTGTAGAGTTACCAGAGATGTAGGATGCCGCCGGAGCCCCTCCCCCAGTGCAGAGATGGAGAGCAATCAGGAAAGGGGCGGGAGCTTGGGCTAAAGGGACCCAGAAGGGCAGGTGGTGGGCAGGTGGAGGACTGGCGGAGCTAGGGACGCTATGAGGTCCTGTAAGTTTAGTAAAGTCACCCTACAAGGACATGTGCCCTGTGAACCAGAAATGAATTTTGACTCAAGAGCCCAGGCTACCGCGGTGTCCCTCCAATGGGAGGTTTATGAAAATAATTTTGTTTTTATTTGCATAAGAGAGATTCAAGTGGGCTCATTTCCATAGAAAAATGAACTAAAAAAAAAATCAGAGAAGGGGGGGAACTGAGCCAAAGGAGGCGTTTGCACATTTTCCTCTCTCTCTCTCTCCCCCTCTCTCTCTCCCTCTCTCTCTCTCTCTCTCTCTCTCTCTCTCTCTCTCTCTCTCATGCCGATACATGTGCACAGAAGGCATGCATTTACCAAGGGAGGGGGCTTCTCTCTCTTTGAAGCCATTAGATGTTTGAAGGCTAGTCGAAGGACTTGCTGATGCTTCACCCCAAAAAGAGGCAGCAAAGGAGGGACATGGTTGGATGTGAATACCAGTGTTACATTTCTAAAATGACACTTCCATGACTACAATAGCAGGAAGGATAGGTTTTCTAGAACTATGGGCCATTTTAAGGGATACACCTGCAACTCTGGACCTCTAAACTCAAGTTCATGTCACCTCTATGGGGTTAGGAAGACATCTTTACTCTCAATTCCCTTATAGAACTTTAGCAAAGGATAATGACAGAGAGGGACATGAAAGAAAGAGGGAAGAGAAGGAAGCTGAATATAACTGAATGGGCTGCTGGGGTGGTAGAAGGAGAAAAGCCTGCCAGTAAGATGTGGCATCATGGTGTTCATTCAGACCCCAGCCCCCCAGCAGTCCCAGGGATGTTCTATAGGGAAATGTGTGACCTTGAGCAAATCTTTTAACCTTCGTATAGTCAGTTTCTCCATCTACAAAATGTAGAGGTTATTCCACATTTCTGGACACTGAGGTCTCATGTAATAATGGCTTTGATTGTATGGGTTTGAAGACCTGCATACAAAACAGGGAGACTATCCAGAAAACATGGATAAAGGAAAGCTTCAAGGTGTTATTATTCAAATTAGTAAAGGCATTTGCAAGATACTGGCTGTATTGTTGCATGTTGAGAGATCTGTGGAAATGAGTGAGGACAATCAGACACTTAGCTTGCTGCTAAAGGAACCTGAAGTTTTGAGATTTGTTTGAGGAGATTCAGATCCACAGAGCCTAGCCACATGCTTTTTAAATGTGGCAGTTGAAGAAGACACTTTGATGACAAGCTGTGAGAAATTTTGATTTGAATATTTGGGAAATTATCTAAAATTAATTCTGACACAAGGAAAATGACATCCCAGTTTAAAGGTTAGGTATTTGGGGTGGCAAGAAGAAGGGTTCAAAGTGGGATGTGAGTATATTTTGTTCTGGGAAGAGGATTTAAGGAGGGAGAGGGCCATGGAAAGTCCTCCTAGGACATGGGTTTCTATACTCCTTGGACATATCTGGCACCTACAGTGTCCTTGACACTTCTTGCACTTTACTGAAGAGGGTACAAGTATTTTTATTCCTTCAATAAGGGCTTATTCTTAGAATTTAGGAATTTGCATGCCAGTTTCTGAAAAGGGGAACATGTGAAAATTCAACTCCTGGTGGGGAGGGGGGTTGCCTTCAGCTCCCCCACCATGTGAGCATCTGGCGCAGAGCTAGTCTACCCATCCAGATTCGCCCAGGAGGCTGTGTTCCTAAAGGAACTCACTGTGCCACTTGGTGGCACCAAAAAGTTGCGCAGAGAACTCTGTTCTCTATAAATACAAACTACCACCCCTCCCTCCTCCGCTCTCTCCCCTTCCCCCCCTTTCTTGGTAGCGGGAAGATTGCTGCACACAACGCCCTCAGCTTGGCTGTTCTGCGCTCGCTGAGCACAAGGGATGAGCTTGAGATCATCTTGGGGTGGGGAGGGGGGGAGCCCAGCACTGGAAAGGCCGGCTCTACCCCGCTGACCCCCACCGCCCAACTTTACATGGGGCTAGATATACCGCGTCTCACTGTCCGCTGCCTGGCCGACAGGGGGTAAGCTTGCTAAGTGTCTTTTTGCCCAAGTGTCCCCTGGCCTGAGAAGGATTTAGGAGCTATTAGCTTGCTAAATAGCTCACAGTTTGGTTTGGGGGAGGGGGACATGGATGGAGTGGGAACGGCCAGAGCCCATAAGGTTCATGTCTGCTCCATTTGCGGACAGTCTTGGTAAACCTGTTGGTGGAAAGGGAGCAAGCAATGGGATAAAGGAGGGAAGAGCTGCAAACGTTGAGACAGGGATTCTGCATGCCTTCGGACTAGAATCCCAGCTCTCAAGGAAAGGGGCGCATGCTTTCAAAATGCAGATGGACTCCCCCAACCACCTAAGGGCTAGAAATCGAGAAAAGCAAAGGTAGAGAGGGAAAGGAAGGAGAATCCTTTCTCTATAAATCCTGTCACAGCCGCTCTGTGGCGCTTGCTGCAGAAAGAGGGGGACAGCGGGTGGTGCTGAAAGCACATCTCTTTCACTCTGGCTAGAGTGCCTTGCTCTGAACACCATTCTGAACCCTCCCGCTTTTTCTACTCCCACGGATGCATCTTTCTCTTCCCTTTAGACGCAAAGCTTACTAATTCCTCAGCATCATAAGCGGCATGTGGTGAAGAGAGCCTAGACTACAGCGACCTGTAAAGAGTACCCAGGGCAGGCCCAGGAGTGCAAAGGCTAGCTGGTGGCCTGAGCCTAACCTACTCTTGGGACCTCTCAGAAGAAAGTGATAGGTTCCCCTGGAGGGTTCTTCCACCTGCTGCTGGAATTCCAGTTGTTCAGGATTCTATCCTGAGTGGCTACCGGTTCAGGGGAATTTGAGAAGAGTATAACCAGTGCTGGACTTATTTAGACACATCTTGGTACCACCTCAGCTGATCTGTAAGCTTGAGTAGCCAGGCAGATTTGCTGTCACTTTACTTTTTGAAAAGAAATTGACACAGGCCAGTGGAATGCAGCTTCTCATTTCTGCCTATTTCTATATTCTCTGCATTGGATTTTATGGTTTGGAGTTCCTCAGGACTGACATAGAGATGATCTATATTCCTACAATGGGCTGCTGTGGGATTATAACAGCCTAGGGAGCATTGCTTTGGTCTAAATAGATCCCCTTTTCTCTAGTGAGGTATAAAAATGTTTTCTGCAGAAGTTCTGAGTTATCTGATATTTTATTGGGAATTTTGAAGTGTTCAGGTATACTTCATGTTAGGTGTGCCTTGTGCTATTTTCTTCATTAAGTGCAGGCAACTTTCTCCTTTAATTTCTATGTTATTTCTGTGTAATTACACATTTAAGGATCATTTGTGTCTATGTTACAGATGTCGGTATACATTTTAAAGGGCCATTGGTTTAGGCATTTTAAATACTGCTTCCTGAACTCAACAGGTTAGTAAGGTACACTTCATCAAATCTGCAGCCTTCTCTGGCAGAAACATTTTCAGTACTCTGGACAGAGCTTTTAAAGTTTCTTAGGCAAAGAATGCACCTTAATCACTTTCTAAATAACCACCTCTCTTAAGGAAAAAAAAAAAAAAATCCTTGGTTATTTACACTCTGCATGAGAATGTATACAATCTAGATGTTTTAATTGTATCCCCTAGAGTTTTGTGTTGTCAAAAGGCTATGTTTTGCCTGTGGCTTATATACTTAAGAAGAAACCAAACTCTTAAATGTTCATTTATGAAAAGACATGCTGAAATTGTTTTGAGAAGGAAGAGTATTTGAATAATCCAATAACTCACTTCCTTCCATAGGTAGATACAAAATTCTTCCATTATTTTGTAACACACATTCTGGACAGTATGGCAAACACCCATGGGGAAGCTGAGAAGTTCACTTGTAGATAACATGTCCACACAGACTGTCCATACTTTGAAAATACTTGTGTAACCTCATACCATTTTCTGTTTTTCTCTGATTGGAAAACATTGAAATGTTTTACATTTTTAAAGACATTTCCTAATACAATCATTGGTCTCACTAATAATTTATCTCTTGTTTATTTTTGTGACTAAATGATTTTTATAATTCTTATTTTGCTTTTCTTCAAAACATATTGAATATTTTATAGGACTGATTCTATATCATCTCTAAAAGAATGTTCAGAAAATTTAGATAAGAAAGCTTAATTAAATGACAATAAACAATATACCTATTTTATCCCAGACTTTGTATCCTCATGGGCTAAATATACATACCTAAATATACTCCCTCATATATTTTGCTGTGGGATTAATATATAGTATAATGTAAAGTACCATATCTATCTGTATTATTTAAATTCACATGTAGATAGGTCAAACAAATTTATAAAACAGGAACTTTCTTTTGATATATGTGAATATATGTGGCATATGCTAAATTAATTTAGCTTGAAGTTTGTGTATTCTGAAGATATAAAGGAGAAACATTCCAGTTTAGAAATTCGTGATACTATTCCTATTCAGAAATTAGTTCCCAAATACCATTTAGTTGCCATGTCAGTCAGCAAGTGGAGTTTAGGAGACATAATAAGATATGAGCATCCAAAGAAATATTTATTTCACATTTTTATAACCCAATAAAAGAAAGTTTGAGTTTTTATTATGCAATTTCCACTATATATAAATGAAATAATATATTTTTCATGTTTCATTATCTCAGTTGTTTAAAAGTATTTTAATATAATATTACGTCTCAGGCTTATTCTTATTTCATTTCACAGAGAGGAGGAAAAAAATCCACATTTTAGCAGTCCTAATTTTGTTTGAATTATATGTACCTTTGGCCAGAAGGAGTACCGAGCAAAATCTTGGTGTAAATTCATACTTTCTGTAATA